AGTCTCACTCGCATTTCAGCCTTTACGTATGCCGCCGCATCTGGTGGCAGGCCATGTGTTACAGTTCCAAACCTGAATGGAAGTGCTGGCATTCTACCCAACACATTTTACCCCTGCCACGACCTTCACTATATTAAGACCTAGTTCTAACTCTGGACCATTTTACTGGGCGTGTGGCCACTCTGCAACGCTTCAACTAGCATTGCTATATTCTTTGTCATCTGAATCAAAGAGGCTTGCACCCCCGTCCGTATCAGTCAGTTCTTGCTCCGCTTCACTGTCACAGGAGCTTCGGCTCCCACAGCACAAGTCGAAGTCCTCCTCCTCACCACCCCACACTCTCTTCTGTTAGGAAAGTCTATTTTACCGTAATGGATCATCTTCATCATCCAGGCATGAGTAATCTGATGATTCACTTTTTTTTTTTTTTTAATTTTTTTTAAATTTATTTTTATTTGTGTGTGTTTGTGTATGGCCAGCTCAGCCCACCAGGGGGCATGGCTGGCTGGCATGTGGGGCCGGGGGATTGAACCGTGGTCTCTGTGCTTTGTTAAGCTTGCTTTAGGTAGGTGCTTTAGACCACTGAGCCATCTCACCAGCCCCTGATGATTCATTTTTTTTTTTTTACTTTCTTTCTTTCTTTCTTTCTTTCTTTCTTTCTTTCTTTCTTTCTTTCTTTTTTTTTTTTTTTGAGGAACCAGGGGATTGCACTCAGGCCCTTGTGCTTGCTAGGCAAGCGCTTATTCTACTGAGCCATCTCCCTGGCCCCGATGATTCACTTTTGACCTCCTCCAGAACTTGTGAATCTGGCCTTTCACATGCCATTCCTCTGCACTGGGCTACTTCTACCAGAAAAATTGAAAAAACAAAAACAAAAACAAAAAAACAAATCCTGGAGTGATATGGGTCCACTGGACCCTCTGTGATGCGCAGGTAAACATATGCAAAACCTGGTCCACAAACCCTAAGGGTGGATCCAAATCCTGCTTGGTTATTTCTGCACGGTGTACACTACTTGACGTTCATGCCAAGTGGGTGAACACACAGATTGCTTCGTGTATCCCTCAGGGAAAGGCACTGAAACACACAGCTGGCTAGTATAACCTAAAGTACACTTGCAGTAGAAAAGTAAGGGGAGGCCCACTGGACCCAGGCCTAGCCTTCGAGAGTTCGAGTGAGCACTGGGCTTGGTGCCTTGCTTCCAAGGATGGAATGAGGTGGGAACAGCATGCAGGCTGAGGCAGTTCATAAACCAGCTTTCTCATCTTCGAAGACCCATGTCAGGAGAGCCCAGTGCCGCATGAAGTCACCCACACAGCCTAATGGGAGTCCAGCCTCCAGCGAAGGCTTCATGTGTCAGCTTGAAAAGGATCTTCCAGCTGCAGCCAAGCCTCCAGATGAGTTCAGGGCTATCCTGACATCCTAGGGACCCTGAGCCTGAGCCACCCACAAGCTATTCCCAACTTCCTGGTCAACAGAAGCTATGAGATGCTGCTGGTTATTTTAAGCCCTAAGTTTTGGGTAACCTATGCAGTCATAGTAGGGGATGGCTGCAAGCCTGTCTCGCTATGACCGAGCTAAAACTCCAACAGTACATCTCAACTACTGTGATCAGAGATAAGTTACCTGACCTGATCAACTCGGGGCTCAGCGGGGTCACCAAAGATGCATGTTCTTCCTCTCTTCCTGAGTTCTGAGCCTTGGGCTTCTGTCCACGTGGTCACAAGCCAACTACAGGTTCTAGCACTCCATTTGCACATGCAGATCCTCACCCTCAGGTTCCTGCAGACTGGCGAACCTTCCCTAGAAGTTCCAGGCCGCTCATGCTTTGCTGCCCAGAGCTAAGGCATGTGACCCTTCTTGAACTTCTGACCTTGGAGCCAGGCTGAAGTCAGACTCCTTGGATGGAACAAGGGAGCCTGCCAAACAAGGACTGTGCTACTGAAGTGTCATCTTTTCAGCAGCTGTTGCTGCTGTCCCTTCCTTGGGGGCACCTCGGCTCTCCCCTCCGAAGGGTGGCTTCACCACGTGATTCTTCCTCCTCACTCCCACGCAGCCTCTATATCCCCTTGTGCACAAGCCACACAAGCAAGTGCTCATTGCTGCCCACGGATCAAATGGCGATACAGGAGTTCAGATGAGAAACCTCTGGGTGGAGAGGCAGTCCGGGAATACATCCTGAAGCATAAAGGCAGCCCTCCAGGTAGAACAAGGGGTTTGTATGTCACAGAAGTGGTGAGATGTTTCAGACACGCTTCTTCCTGGAGATGCAAAAAGAACTGAGTCTCAGGGGCTCTTTTTGCAACTCTCAAACACTGCTGTGGCTGTGGCACGCCTCCTTACGTGGAGCCTTCGACATTTGCAGACTTTAAAACTGCCTCAGTCCTGAAGCCCACCACTGTGAGAAGTGGTGTCAAGAATGAGATGCTAGGGCCAGTGAGATAGCTCAGCGGGCTAAGCACCTGCTTAGGCAAGTGCAGAGACCGGGGTTTGATCCCTGGCACCACATGCCATGCCAGCCCTGAACCCAGGCACACTGAGCAAGCCGAGACCACATGGTGGCACACGCCTGTAATCCCAGCGCTGGGGAGGCTATGAGTTCGAGCTACATAATGAGACCCTGTACCAAGTACATTAAGAAAAAAAGAACAAAGTGCTTCTGTATCCCTTATCTCTCCACCCCAGGCTACTGCCCAACCATCTGGGCACCTCAGGAGCCAGGACTCCATTCTGGCCAGTGTTGAGAGCCTTGGAGGGCAATGGGGACACCCTTCAGATTGAGTAAGCATTTCTGCACCTTGGGGCACCTGATGGGCCCAGAGGGGGTGCAGGGTAAAAGTGAGGGTAGGTCAACTAAATAGATGCCCAATACCTTCTCTGGCTGAAGTACAAGCTGTGCTGGCTCCTCAACCCAATAGTTAAGCTCTAAAATATCCCCCAAACTCTTGTGTTTGGATCATACAGGTATTCACTAGTGAATCCATCCAATGGTGAGTTCACAGCTGAATGTGCTTAGGTGAGTCCTGTTGGAGGTGGGTCACCAGGGTATGACCTGGGTGTGTTCTTGTCCCTGGCTGCCATGACATAACCACCTTTCCTCTCCCAAGTCTTTCCATGTCCAGGCCCAGTGCTGGACATAGCCACGGCCACAGGAAGCTGCCTGCTCTCCTGAGCTTGTCAGAATGGGTGCATGGCACATCAGAAGCCTCTGAAGAGTCTAGCCCCTGGGCTAGCACTGACTCTGCTAGTGAACCCTGTTTCCTGTTCTGAACAACTGCCTAGCACCAATGACAGTGAATCAACTTGGCTTATTCATTAGGACCCTCAAATCAAGAGTCCAGTGCCTTACAGACTCCTCAGTTATGGTGTGGCTGCCAACCTGCCAAGGAGTCAGAATATTTTCTGGAAGAGTCAGCACCATGGGGTGCTCAGCACAAAACATCCCAGAAAGAGGTGTTGAACTGTGCACTTCCTTTCTAAACATCAGCCAGGTGCATAATCTGTGGTTCAAACTAGGGGACGGAGGTCTAGTGGGGTCAAGGAAGCACAGCCCCATGCCACCTGGACCAAATGTTAACGCAGACCCTAGCCAGCAGCTCAGTGGGAGAGGATGCAGTTGTCACAGAACTTGGAACTCCCAAGCAGACACAAGGTTAAGGGTAGCGGTTCCTGGACCAGGTTTGGTTTCTCTTCCAGAAGGTCTTTCCTACCTAACTGCAGAAAAATGGCTTTATTCTGAGCACTCTCCATACCCCAAGGTCAAGTAAAAGTGGCCTGGCGAGAAAAGTGTGACATTACAGCCTTAATGGATGGCACGCGGCTGTCGTTAGGAGGGTGGGCCCTTTTCCTCCCCTTCTAGTGAAGCAGGCTTGGGAGGGCAAGCAGAAAACAAGCCCCAGAATGTCACTCTCCTTTCTTCTTTTCTTTTTGTATTTTAGGACAGGGTCCACAGGATCTACAGGGTCTCACTGCCTAGATCAGACTCTAGTGATCCTCCTGTTTACAGCCTCCCAAGTGCTGGGATTATAGGCACGCGCCACCACGCCCAGTTTCAGAAATAGAAGCTGAAGATTGTTTTTGGCTTTGGTTCCGGGGATTGAACTCAGGACCCTGCACTTGCCAGGCAGGCGCTTATGCCGCTGATCTATCTACAGGTCCTCCGGTCTCCTTTCTGAGAATGGGTCAGCACTGGTCCGCGCAGCAAAGGTGAACGCTTGAGCAAGTCCCGTGTTATCTTCGGCACCTCCCTGTGGCCAGACTGACCGGGAGCTGTAACTCCAAGTCCAGGGGTCACTAGTTACTGCTACCAAGACGAGGCGCCAGGTCATCCGACGACCAAACGCACGCTTCGGCTTAACCCGGCCCTCGCTCAGGACCCGGAGCTGCGATGCAAAATTGCCTGGGGAGAAATGCCTAGGCAGGCAGGGCCCTACCCTGGGCCGCGGTTCCCTCAGACGCCTCCCTCGAGACAGGCCCACTCCCTGAGACGCCAACACCCAACCACAACAGCGGCGGGAGCTGGCCAGCCCTTAAAAACACGCTAGCGAATCTTGCCAAGTGAATCTCTCCTTGGTTCCTTCCCAACATGGCAGAGGGCGTGGCTTCCTAACTCCGGAAAAGATCAGCATTCTGGAAGGAGAGATGCATTCTGGGAGCGACGCTGCATGCTGGGAGATGTAGTCCATGGTGCGACCGCGGCCCAGGACCCTTTTCAGGTCTCTGCAGCTGCAAAAGCTGGATTTCAAACGGCTCGACTTGAACCGTCCCGAGGACATAATGTCCTCCAGTCTTTTTGGGCCAGATCCTCTGCCAGGACACTAGAGGGTCCTGCCTGCCCCACAAGGAAAAATACAGTGAGGAATGGAGGGGTGGGGGCACGAGGACGCAGCCTCGCGAGAGCTGAGGCGGAAGTCCCGCCCCCAGGCACGGAAGGCGGTCTCACCGACCGACATGCTATTGGGCCTTCGTGTCGAGTGACAGGCGCGACGGGTCCGGTTGGCAGTCATCCGGTCGTCTAGGTAACGGAGTGGAAAGGCGCAAGGCTGGGTCAGCATCGGCAGGTGCCTGAGTCTAGGTGCGGAGACTGCGGCGGCGGCTTCGCCCTCTCTCCCCGGCCGCACCGAGTCCACGGCTGCAGATGGGAGACCAGGGCATGGAAGATGTGGGCGGGCCGGGGCCAGGAGCCGGCGCAGGAGCTGTTCCGGGACGCCGCCTTCCCCGCCTCGGAGTCCTCGCTCTTTTTCAATTTGTCCACGCCGCTGGCCCAGTTTCGGGAGGACATCACATGGAGGCGGCCCCAGGTGGGGCTGGCGCGGGTCTCCTCGCCGGGCCGGGTGGGAAGGCGGGCACTTGGACCTTGGGGCGTGCAGCCAAGCCCTCAGCTGGGCTTCCCGATGCCCGGGCACCCCGCCCCCTCGCGCGGCGCAAGCCGAGCTGCCAGCCCTGAGGGTGCAGACCAGTGGGTGCTCCATTTCAGAAGCCAGATCGCCCCTCAGCGGTGTGCAGTTGAAGAGTTTGTCCTGGGTTATTTGTAGTAAAATATTCTAAGACCAAAATAAGGACGTTAATTAACAGGACATTGCTCTGTTGTGTAGTGGAAGGGAATACTTGAAGACATCATTCCTGAATTGATCCGGCCGCATCAGTTTGGGCGCGTGTAAGTCCGCGTATCAGGACCAGTTCTCGGCGTCTTTGGTTTTGCTTTACCTTTGTCTCCAAAGGACTCAGCATTTCGGGTGTGCACAGGAGATGACACAGGACGGAAGCGAGGATCGTGATGGTTCACCAGACCATGTTGAAAAATGGAGTGGCTGCTGTGCTTAATAGGGCCGCGGGCTGAGCGGCATGTTGTGAGATAGGTAGAAGGTTTGGGGTCACCAGCAATTGCCAGGTCAAGTGGGTAAATTGAGCTCAGGTGTGTTGAGTTGAACACTTGCTTGGTCTGATGGTGCAAGGTGCTCACAGTGAGTTGTCTTAACAGATACAACGCAGCTTCACTTAACTGCCTTCTGTGATGAGTGTCTGTACCTGGCTTCTGGTCCGCATACTTCTGGCCACAAGTGGTTCTGGTACACTTGGGGGTCCTTATGTTTTGTACTCACTGCCCATGAGGTCCCCTACCCTACGCTGTTCTGGAAGGTGAGGCTGAGCCCACAAAGCAAAGCAGTGGGAGAAGTTTAGTACTGGACCTTGTGTGCCTGCATTTATCGTAAACGCTTAAGTGACAAAGATGCCCTTGCCTAGTGCTCTCTTGATATTTGTAGAAGTGTTTATTTGCTAAATGAAACTGCCCAGGGAGTCACCTTATTCTGGGTGTGTTGTATGCAGTCCTGGATGGTCACTCTCCCTTAAAACAGCCAGAAGTGCTTCGCTCTGGCAACTGGGGGACTTTGCCAAGTAGCCTGGATCCCTTGGACAACACTGCAGAGCCTGGAAGGAGGTAAGGGCTAGAGCTTGGAAAGCCCTTAACCATTCCCCTGGGATTTGGATTTTGTTTACTTAAAAATGAGTGTTAGGGGGCTGGGGAGATGGCTCAGTGGAATAAGTGCTTCTCTGGTGAGCGCAAGGGCCTGAGTTCAATCCCCAGTTCCACCAAAAAAAAAAAAAGTGTTAGGGCCAGCCAAATAGCTCAGCGGATTAAAGCACCTGCAAGCAGGTGCAGGGGCCCAGGTTCGATCCAGGGTGTGCTGAGATGGCAACTGAGACTGGGCATGGTGGCGCATGCCTGTAATCCCAGCTCTTGGGAGGCTATGAACAGGCGGATCACTACGAGTCCGATCTAGTAGTGAGACTCTGAGCACCCTGTACACCCTTCCCTAAAATACAAAAAAAAAAAAAAAAAAGAAAAAAGAAAGAAAAGAAAAAAGAGCTTTAAGGGCAGTAAGAGGCCAATAGAAAACTGATTCTGTCAGAATGATGCCTTAAGAAGCTCACTTGTTGGGGAGCTGAGTAGAGGGTGACAGCATGGTGTTAATATTCGCAGCTTTTTATTCTTGTTCAGTAAATGTCCTTTAATGTTGTAACCTGTGAGTGTGTCACCTACTCACAGTAATGACAGGAAGAAAGAGGGGAGTGGGGAAGAGAGACGCATGCCCGTTTGTGGGTGCAGGCAGGGTCTGGGGCAGGCGAGCAGGAGGCCCCGGCCCTGGGGTGGGTGACAGCTTGGGCTGGCGTGACTACTGTCGGGCTGGACCTCGGAGGGGTTGGGTTGGAGAACTCTCCTGCAGGCAGGGTCTGGCCTTAGTGCAAAATGAGGACAGAGGTGGGATCCAGAGTGATGTCTCCGTCCCTTGACTAGTGCCAGGTGTACCATGGCTCCAGGTGGTGTCCCGTGCTTTGGAGTTGAGCTCATGTAGAGCTATCAGACAGGCGGGAGGGATGGGCTGGAGGCCTCTCTCTGGGCATTGAAGCTTGGCATACTGTGGGAGAGCATCTGAGGGAGGGATGGTGGGCAGAGGAGGGGCTTGGGCTGATCCTGGGGGAACCCTAAGGTGTCGTGGGGTGAGCAGGCTCCCTCCTAGGTAGGCTTGAGAAGCTGCTGTTGGTGAGAAAGAACAGAAGGAACCCACAGATTGTGGAAACTGAGATGCCCATTGTAATTATATGTGTGTGTGTGTGTGTATGAGTGTGTGTGTGTTTTACTTGTGTGGAACCCAGGCCCACATGCATGTATCCCAGACAAGTGCTCCACCAGTAGGCCACAGTCCCAGCTCTTTTTTATTTATTTATTTATTCATTCTTTCTTCCTTCCTTCCTTCCTTCCTTCTCCTCCTCCTCCCCCTCTTCCTCTTCCCCCTCCCCCTCTCCCTCCTTTTTTTTTGGTCTTTTTGAGGCAGCATCTCACTATGCAGTTGAGGCTGACCTTGAGTTCACCTTGTAGCCCAGGCTGTTCTCAAACTTGCAACGATCCTCCTGCGTTAGTCTCCTAAGTCCTGAGATTACGGGTGTGTGCCACCATGCCTGGCCAGCCTGTCCTAGCCCTTTTAAAAGTATTTTATTTTGACACAGTTCTCAGTTGCCCAGGTCAAGGTTGAACGTGCAGTCCCCCCTCACCTTTCCTGGAATTACCGGGGAGTCCCCCTCCGCTCCGCTCTGGTTGGGTTTTATACTATGGAGGGGACATTGCTAGAGGCCATTTGGGGCCCGATAAACTCAGAAGCTAAGGGCCTGTATGGAGAATGAAGAAAGGGAAGAAATGGGGGCAGCAGCTCCTCCAAGAAGACTGTCAGTAAAGGACCTCTTAGAAGGAGTCATGGTGCCTTGGGTGATACCTTCAGGAGATGGGAGAGTCACTCTCCTGCCCTTACGCTGGGATCTGCCCCAGGGGATACCTGGGCCCAGGGTATGATGGCAGGAGCCCAGCTCCGGGGCTGGGAAGGGGCCGGACCAGGGGTTTGTGTAAAGCAGAAGTTGGTTGGCAGCCCAGGGGAACATAGACATTTGAGGGGAGAGAGAAAAGGGACAGGCTAAGATAGTCTGGGGGCGAGGAAGTAGACACTTGTGGAGAGACAGTACGATTTGCAGGGTCCACAGGATCCATTTGAGGCTTGCCATCCTGTATTTATAAAGTGAGGCTGTTTCAAAAGGACACATTAGGGTTTGTCCAGAGTTGGGGGCTCTGCCTCAAGGGGAGGTGGACAGAGGTGGTATCCTGACTAAGCAGATGAGGATCTAAAGCTGGGCGCTGCAGAGAGCACCTGCCCCAGAAGCCTGCTTCTCTGCTCCCCTCCTGCACCGGGAAGCTCCGGTTCCAGAGAGCTGCTCCAGCCCACACCGGGGCCTGTGTCGAATCTTGCAGGTCAGCTCTCAGGCCTGGTCTGACACTAGACAACTTTTTTACTTTAGGAAATTTGCACTGCACCCCGGCTATTTCCAGATAACCCGTCCGAAGGGCAGGTGAAGCAAGGGCTGCTGGGCGACTGCTGGTTCCTATGTGCCTGTGCTGCCCTGCAGAAGAGTCGGCACCTCCTGGAGCGGGTAGGGAGTGCCCCTTGCTGGGATTCTGGGAGGTGGTGCTGTCTCCCTGCCTGTGGAGCACAGAAAGCGCTTCCAGGAGCAGAGCCCACGCCACAGGCCATGCAGCACTGGGGACGTTGCTGTCACTGCATGGCTGGTTCAGTGGGAAGTCTTCGGACCCAGGGCAGCAGCTGAGACCCAATTATGTCTGGCTGGCTGCCCTTCTTTTCTGTCTCCTGAGCCCTGGCTTCTCCACATAAGCAGAGCCATGCATTTGGGGTTGACAGGAGTCTGGCCGTGGTGTCCCTGTTGCTGGTTTCACACATCTACAGCTAGTTTTCAGGGTTTCTTGTTCTGTTTGTAAACTTAAACTGCTGGTGCAGGCAGCCAGGCCCTGTGCCTTGCCTTCTGCAGAGGCTGCTGTTGGAGGCGTGGCCTGTTGTGGGGCAGCCCTGTGGGCTCCTCATGTGTCCCAGGCCCTGTGCGGAGCACGCCCCCCTGCTGCCTCTCCTCACAGCCTTGCCAGCTGTGAGCCTCTCTGTGAGTGAGAGTGCTGCCCCACGTTCGTCACGTTCCCAGCTCTTGGGGTGGTGGAGGCAGCAACACCCCAAGTGACCCCTGCCAGGTCGGAGTGGAGCCCTGTGGGAATCCAGATGGACACTGGCCCAGCTGCTGGCGGGTGTGGGCAGCAGGCAAAGCTGCTTGGTCATGGGATCTGCTGTTTGCAGTTAGCTCTGGGGAGAATTGGGCTACTTATGCCTGCCAAAGTCACCACGGTTTTCGTTTTCAGTCAAAAAAAAAAGCTTTGGGAATCAAAGTGTGATCTTAAAATATTTAAGTGAAACATCTATGAACTTGGGATCCAGCCATTGCATTTGCTGTGACACAGACATTGAGAGCCCTTTACACTCGGCAGGGCCCGGGAGAGCTTCCGTCGTGTTCAGACTATAGTTGGGACATCAAAGCTGCAGGTGACATCTCACACTTTTTCTCTGTCTCTCCCTGTGCTTGGTAGGTCTTCCCTCCAGGACAGCCGAGTTGGTCCGACCAGACATACCGAGGCCTCTTCATCTGTCGGATCTGGCAGTTTGGACACTGGGAGGAGGTGACCATAGATGACCGTCTGCCTTGTCTTGCAGGGAGACTCTGCTTCTCCCGGTGCCAAAGAGAGGATGTGTTCTGGCTTCCGTTACTGGAAAAGGTCTATGCCAAGTACGTGTGCTGTGTGGAGGTGACAGAGCTCCACCTGCAGCGCCACCAGCTTGTCCTTGCAGTCCAGCCAGTCTGGAGGGTCCAGATATGCCCCTGCTTCTTGCCCTCCCCGTGTCATGGTCCAGTCTGAAGCACCACCTCTGCTAGAGGAGACACATGTCCTCCCTCACTTTGTTGAACTGCTAAAAGACTCTTCTGTGTCTGGGTCTCTAACCTTTGGGACCAGAGGCCTGTGCCCAGTTGGAGAGGAGTTAGCCAGCTGGGGTGTGGCACTGGCTTGGCTCAGTCCTGTGTGAGGCACTCAGGCCACCCTGGGCTCTGCTGGAGGCTCGAGCAGAGGTGGGCATGTGAGTGTATGCTCTGCGCCCCTCTTATTCTACACATGGGCATACAGGCAGGCTGCTGAACGGGGCAGAGAACAGCAGGGACATAGTAGATGGTGGCATCTGCAGGGGAGGCCAGGTCTGGATTGGCAAAGAAGGTGGTAGGGGTCAGGGAGGGGACTTGAGGGCCCGGAAGCCGAGCTCAAGGGGCACAGCTCATGATGGCTACGCTTGTGGCACCCTAGGGTACATGGGTCCTACGAACACCTGTGGGCAGGGCAGGTGGCCGATGCCCTTGTGGACCTCACTGGAGGCCTGGCTGAAAGGTGGAACCTGAAGGACCTGGCTGGAGCAAATGGACAGCAGGACAGGCCTGTGGCTGGTCAGGAGTGCAGGACGTGTCGGCAGATGCTGCGTCTGAAGGACCGGTGTCTGATCAGCTGCTCCGTGCTTAGCCCCAGAGCAGGTAAGGTGAGCCCCGTCTTCCACCCACCTCGGGCTCCACACACCACTCGCTGCGAGGGCCTGTTGGGGCAAAGGAGGAAGATAGACTCCGTCCTCATCCTCGGGTGTGTGCTGGGGTTGTGACCGCCCGTCCCTTCACCTAAGGGCACTGCCCTTGCCATCCCTTCCCAGAGGGAGGCAGAAGGTGTACCATGGCTGTGGTCGCACACAGGCAGCCTGGTATGCGTTGGGGGCACTGTAGCTCAGCCTGTAGTGTTTGCCATCTGGGCAACTTGGCAGAAGACACACCCATGTACACCGCAGGGTCGTTCATTGACATTCATTAAGGGTCAGGATAGAGCTCAGTGCCTCAAGCACCTGCCTGGCAAGCATGAGGTCCTGAGTTCAATTCCCCATACCTCCCTCCCAAAGTTAAGTTTACCAAAAAAGGAAGGAAAAAGTCACTCAGATACAACCACTTGCCTGTTCTGTGCATTTTCTCAGTGTTTTCAGAAGAGCACGTGCCTTTTCTGTTGTGAATTTGCAGAGTGTGCTGTGCTGTCATATAAACCTCGTTACTCTCTTTGTGGATCTACCTGAGTTTCCTCAGTCTTTGTAATGTTGGGTATTTAAAGTCTTTTGGTGATTATAAATCACACTGCAGTGAACATTTTTGTAATTTTTATAGGTATTTAGGATTGCTTCTGTAATACTTTTGCTAACAAAATGAACGTCAAAATGAACCAGAACACATCGGCTGTCACACCGCCCCGGCCGGTGTGTGCCAAGCACTACAAAGTGCAGGTCGGGGGCACTGCAGGCTGATCCTGAGATAGGAGAGGGGCCAACAGGGCACATGCTTCCCACTGACACCTGCTCAGGCCTCCCGGCATGCGGGGCCCCCTGCATGCCTCCTGAGGAGTGCAGGGACTTGCCATGGAGCACTGGCTCCTCGAATTGTTGGTCCAGGGCCACTCCCAGAGCACAGCAGGGCTGAGGACAAGCGGGAACATCAAGTCTGGAAGTCACTCCCAGGCTTTTGCTCCGCTCTGGCCGACTTCTCAGCAGAGTGGCACTCCTGGCCCTGCTGGCTGGTGTCCCCTGTCCTGAGGTCTCTGGCTAGACAGCACTGTCTCCTGGGCCCTGGGCTCCTGCTCCACCTGGCTCTGTTTGGAAGTTCTCTTGGTTCATGACAGTTGCAGGCATATCAGTGACAGCATGGCCTACAGCTGGACCCTGTACTGACACCTGAGTCCTGCAAAGGAAGCGCCAGACACAGTACCAGGCCCTGGTGCTTAGCCCTTCAGGGTGGTGCAGCAGACTAGCGCAGGACAGGCGCTGACCAGCCTGCCCTTGGGAGCAGGGCTGCCCTGCTCTGGGGCCCTGAGGCCTTCGGAGCCCTGCAGGGCAGACCAAGCACACAGACACCTGCTGCACTCCTCCCCTGCTGTGTGCTGCTGCCCTCGCACAGGTTCCAGGGTGCTGGGCGAGTTCCACGCCTTCATCGTCTCCGACCTGCAAGAGCTCCAGAGTCGGGCAGGCCACGGCATCCTCCTGCTGCGCATTCTAAACCCCTGGGGCCGGCATTGTTGGCAGGGTCGCTGGAGAGAGGGGTGAGTGCCCCGAGGGCTGGGCATAGGAGAAGGGTTGTCAAGGCCTAAGGGTACTGGGCCCCCGTGCCCATCTGCCTGTGCTGCAGTCACTTCAGGTGCCAGGCAGTGCTTGTCTGTCTTGGCACTGCTCCCATTGGGCCTTGGGCTGTTCTAGAGGACTGGGGCTGTGACCACTCAAGGGGCCCACAGAAAGCTGTGTGTGTGCTGGGCTTTTGGGTGAGCATGGACTTGGGGGTGCTGCTGTGCGGCCTGAGGGCTGGGGCTCTTGGACCCCATAACCCCTGCTGAGCACCAGCTCTTCAGTGTGGAGGTGACGTGGCAGCTGCACCAAGATGACAGGACAGAAGTCATCCAGAGCTTTGCAAGGTAGCTTTGGGGCCACCCAGGGCAGGAGGCAGTGGGCAGAGGTCTCCTTTGCCCTGTGTGGCTGTCAGATGTCAGCAGCTCTCACAAGAGCTTTGAGCAAAGTGAGGTTTCTTGCAGGGGCGAAGGGTGGAGCCAGCTAGAGCCTGCTGACAAGGCCCGGCTCCTGTCCTGGCTCCAGGACGGAGAATTCTGGGTAGAGGAGGAGGAGTTCCTCAGGGAGTTTGATGAGGTCACCATCAGCTACCCGGTCACGGAGGCCGGCCACCTACAGAGCCTCTACACAGGTATGCAGCAGGCAAACTACCCCTGGGAGGCCCACAGCATGACCCTGAGCCCGGCCCCCTGTGGGGGGGGGGCTCTGGACTCCAGCAACAGCTGCCTGAGCTCACCTGTGCCCTTCCTCTAGAGAAGATGCTGTGCCATGCACAGGCACTGCCTGGTGCCTGGGTCGAAGGACAGTCAGCAGGTGGCTGCCGGAACAACAGCTGCTTTCCCTCCAACCCCAAGTTCTGGCTGCGTCTGACCGAACCCAGTGAGGTGTGTGTAGCTGTCCTGCAGAGGCCCCAGGGACACCCAAGGGGCCGAGCCCGGGCAGCAGGGGGCCGAGGTCATGCCCTGGCCAGTGCCCCCAGCAAGGATTACCAGGCTGTGGGCCTGCACCTCTGGAAGGTAACTTGCCCCCCCCCCCCAGTGCTGTCTGCCTCCCTCCTCTGAAGTTCCCCATAGAACCTGCCCTGGTTTAAGTCCTTACCCTTGTGCCCAGAATGTTACCAGCAGCCAAGGCCAGGGCCGCCCACGGCCCCACTGGGTGGCCACCTCCCCCATCCCACCTTTCCCAGTACGGGCTGGAACCTGACCCGGTGACGCTGCTCTGAGGCCAACTCAGCTCATAGCTGCTCTTGGAGAGCATGAGAGGAGCAGGGCCAGGCGGCCAGGTGCGGCGGCCAGGTGCGGGCAGCTGTCTGCTCAGTGGCTGGAGTTGCTCTTCGTATCTTTTTGTTGTTATTGAGGTTAAGAGCCAAACGTATTTATTGGAGAAAAGAAGGGGAACCTGAGAGGGTTGCCCCCTACTCTCTGTATCCTGACAGGTTGTGGCAACTGGAGTCTGTGTCCCCAGTCGTTTTGGAGCCTGTCTTTCCTGCAGCAGATGCTGGGAAAGGCTTTGCTTGGTAGTGCCCAGGCACAGCTGTCCAGAGTGCCCTTTCTTATGGTGCAGTGTCAGGGTTGTGGGAGGTGTGGCCCGAAGGAAGGAAGCTGGATGCTCCTCTGAGCCTCTGCCCTCCTCGGCAGGTGGAGAAGCGGCGGGTCAGCCTGCCGAGGGTCTTGTCTGCACCCCCTGTGGCTGGCACTGTGTGCCACGCTTATGACCGAGAGGTGCACCTGCGCTGTGAGCTCTCCCCGGGCCACTACCTGGCTGTCCCCAGCACCTTCCTGAAGGATGTGTCTGCACAGTTCCTGCTGCGGGTCTTCTCCACTGGGAAAGTGTCCCTCAGGTGAGGAGCCAGCAGGGAGGCAAAGCAGGGACCTTGGTCCCAAGCAGGGTGTGTTTGTACCAGCACTCTCCTGTGTTCATTCCCATAGCAGTGCTGAGAGGCCAGCGGCCCCAAACACCCACCCCAGCACAGCCCTGCCTGCTGGAGAGGTGGAGACCGTGCAGCTGCAGGGCTGCTGGAAAGCCGGCCAGACTGCAGGGGGCAGCAGGAACTTCTCCTCCTACCCCTGCAACCCCTGCTTCCCTTTCCTGGTTCCTGAGGGTGCTGCTACCCGCTGTGTCCACATCACCCTGCAGCAGCACTGCCGGCGCAGCGACAGCCAGCTTCATCCCATCGGCTTCCACGTCTTCCAGGCAGGCTCCACAGCTGGTGGGGGAGGGAGATGCATTAGGTCAGAGGTCACAGGCAGTGGGTCCCATGATGACAGTGTCCTGGGCTGGAGACCTAGTAGGGAGTTAGAGGGGCTTATTGACAGAGATGGTTCTGTGCCCCCGGGAGCCAGGCCTGTGTGCCCCAGAGCTGGGAGGACACCAGCGTCTTGGGCAGGGCTTGCCACAATGACTACAAGGAGCTGTGAACGGTGTCAGGGTCTGGAGTTCCTCCAGAGACGTGGGCATACCAGGCACAGAGCCATGGGGCCAGGGTAGACGTGCCAGGCAGCTGCTGGCACCAGATTGTGCCAGCCTGTTGCCTGGAGGAAAGCAGGCTGTGCTGCCCACCCCATGTAGCTTCCTCAGGCTGACCTGTGCTCCCCTAGGTCCCAGAGGGTGGTGAGAGCCAGGACACGAAGTCCCTGCTGCTCCAGGAGCCACTGCTGAGCTGCGTGCCGCACTGCTATGCCCAGGAGGTGAGCCGGCTCTGCCTGCTGGCCGCCGGCGCCTACAAAGTTGTGCCCTCCACCTACCTGCCCGATGCTGAGGGCACCTTCACTGTGACCATCGCTACCAGAGTGGACAGGTGCTGCCTGGGCCTGGGGCAGCCTCCCTGCGTCCTCGCACCTCCCTTCCTCTGTGACTCTTGCTTAAAGCTGGGTGTTCACCTGTCCTTGCACAGACCAGCAGGATCTGTGTGCTTGGAGTCCTTGCAGGCCACTGCTTGGGTGGGGGCCCGGTGGGGGTGGCCAGGGGTGTAGGGTGCCTGTGCCCAGACCTGGCAGGTGACCAGCGCTCCTCTCCACAGGCGCTCCTTCCACAGCCAGGAGGTGCTGGGCCACTTCCTCCAGGAGGTGCGTGTGTGGGCTGCCCACTTACTCTGCCACTTTACCCTTTCCACAACCTTGCGCTGCCCTGAGGCCTGTGCCCATGTGTGTGCTCGGTTCTCCCCGGTGTCAGCCAGATAGCAGAACTTGCAGGGCCAAGGGGTGGGGCTGTTGCTCCCAGTGGCGTCTGGGAAAGAGCATGTGCAGCCGTGAGCCGGGCCTTCCCCTCCTCCCACAGGTCTCCACTATGGCAGTGATGAAGACCTGACACTGCCCTGTGTGCCAGCTCCGGTGGCCAGGACATCCATCCTCGGTGCGTGGCTGCCGGTTCTGAGCCTAGTGCCTCATCCCTGCAGAATGGCTGGCTGCTGGGGCCAAGCGAGGCCCTGTCCTGAACAGGTGTGGCCCTGGGGCCAAGCAGGTGCTGCAGGAGGGGAGAGGGCTCCCAGCAGCGCCACTGCCTGCCGCCTGAGACCAGCTAGGTGCACAGCCCCCGGGCCTGATACTCACAGGCCTCTGGAGTCTGGCCACCGCAGCTCTGTTGCCTGCATAGCCCATAACTGGGCAGGAGTAGGTTGTGGCAGATGTTATTTTAAACTATTTATTACTTGAAATATTTCCAGGATGTGACTTTATAAATAAATAATCATGAACAATTTACGGATGGGGTCTGTTCACAACCCCGGAGGCTGAATCCACTGCCTAGCAGGTGAGGGAAGGGACGGTGCTGAGCTGGGAGACCAGCTGGACTGGGAGGCCTGTGGAACCTCATGGGGTCGCAGAAGATTGCTGGGATCGGGATGAGAGTGAGGGCCAGGCTTTGGGACCGAGGTGTCCAGCCCACAGGCATGTGCTGGCCACTGTGTCTTCCCTGGTCCCTGTCTCTAGCACATGGCCAGATGTCCTGAGAACTGGAAACCTTGTGGGCAGCTGGGGCGGTGGGAGGGTGACGTGAGTTCCAGCTCCTCTCCCTGCCAAGTCCTTAAGACCTGGGAGCTGGGGGCCAGCAATGCTGTCCCAGAGGCCCCTGAGCAGCTGTGCCCACTCTTCACCATCCTGTTGGCTCTGCCGTGAGGGAAGCCACACCTTGTGTCCTGGGGCAGCGATCGCAGTGGCACCACCTGGCTGGGTTCTCCTCCTTGGTCGACCACATGGGCACTGGTGCCTGCTCCCCGAGCCCCACTCCCCCAAGTCCCCTCACCTTTGGCTGGGTCAAGTCATCCCTGTGGGTACCACGCTGACCAGTCACTGGCGGGGCAGTGCTGATGGAGCCAGTGCCACACTGGGTGACCAGGGGCAGAGAGCAGCCCACGATGGCACCTTGCTGGCCCTCCAGGAGGGTACACAGCCTTGGGTCTCAGGCTCTTGGAGCCATGTTTTCTCCTAGATCAAGAGTTCAGGCCAGTGGAGCGGACACCAGAGGGCACAGGGATGAGGCAACTGGCAAGTTGTCCCACGCCTGCTAGGAAGGCCAGGCCCAGCAGCAGGTCCCTGCTGCGGTCAGGCTTCATTGCCCCAGGAGGATGTGAGGTGCTGTGGGCTAGGGTTGGGGGCGTGGCTTCCGCGTGTGCAGCCCATGTGGAGTGGGCTGTTCCTGACGCATCCCAGTCACTACTATGGTCCTTCCTCGAGGCCAGCCTTTTCCACATGTGGCTCCTGTGCTAGTGGGCCAGCAGTGGGGTCCCTGTTGGTACAGCTGCCCTTGCAGCCCTGCCTGGGCTTCCTGGTGGTGTGCCTGGTTGGTGGGCCCTGCACTACTCCTGGGGGCTTCCCAAGGCTCCTGGAGTGCCCCTTTATGTCCCCATCCTTGCCACTGTAAAAGGGACTCTGGCTTCTGGTGGGCAGAAGTCACCATGGCCTGTATTCCAGGGTCAACCCCACCACCTGGGCACACCAAGTCCTGTCGTGATGCTGCCCACTGTAGGCCAGCTAGTGCCGCCTGATGGCTGGCAGCATGACTGGACTCCCATGGAGACCGCCTGCTGCTGCTGCCGCCCTCTAGCCTCCTGCATCCTTGCCAGGCCCCTCCTGCTGCTACAGCTGCTGGCCTGTCCTCTGCAGGCCACTCTGGCCTGTGTGTTTGACTCTGCAGCGCGCCCTTGTCCCCTGTGCCCTCCGACTCAGTCTGGGCCCAGATTGAGCCTGTGTAAGTGCCCCTTGCCAGTAGGCGGATGGCCTGGGTCCAGAGCCCGTGCCACTCCTCTCAGCTGGAAGCACACATTGGACCAGCATTTGGGGCAAGATGTAATCAGGAAAGAGGAGGAATTGGGGTCTCAGCTGCCCTGGGAGGGGCTCAGGGCATCCATGGCCTGCTGAGTGACCCCATGGCTGAGGAGCTGGCCTTTGGGCCCCACCCAACTCAGCATCTGGATACCCAGGAACCCCTGAGGACCTGGGTGCACTGCCAGTGCCTGCCTACTGCCTGGCCAGCATGGTTCTCACCCACTTCTCCTCCCTGGGCAGTGGCTTCTCAATCAGTAACTCAGAATAGCCACAGGTGGGCCCGGTGTGGCCTTGGCCTCATGTCCGGCCCATGGGAGCTGAGCAGATGTCCAGCCAGGCTGCTCTGGGTGACATCTCCCTGCTAGGCACACCAGGCTGCAGGTTTATAGACCTCAGAGGGCTGGAGGCTCTGGGACCCCAGGTCCCCTTCGCAGCCTTGAGCATCGCTGAGCCTTGCCAGACAGTGCTGCTGCTGCTCCTTGAAGGCCTGTGGGCCCCTCCTGGCCCTGCAGGGGGCACACTTGAGCTGCGGCCCCTATTTCTCCCCCAGGGCAAGACCCACTCTACCAGCCCATCTGCTGATTTCCATGAAGGAGGAAGCGAAAGGGTTTCTACCCCGGGCTGCGCTCCGCCCGTCTGCTGTGTTCCCTGGGCAGGTCACAGACAGGCAGTGTGCTGTGCTCCTGCGGTGGGCAGCAAAGCCCAGGCACTGTGACTCTGCAGGTGTCCAGGGAGGGCAATGCCCTCAATGTCATCCTGCTGTGTTCTCACATGGGGGTGGGAATGAGGGAGCTCGCTGGGGTCTAGAGGAACAGGTGCCCCATTCTTCAGAACTCTACTGCTTCACCAGAGGCCCCTCCTCCTCACACCCTCTCCTTGGGGTCAAGGTCCTGATTCCTGCCCACCTACACTTCTGTCTCCCCACAGCCCACAGGGTCTCCAGTAGCCTGGGCCACTCTTCCCATGCTGGGCTGCCCTGAGAAATGCAGGACCCTCCCCTCCCCCTTCCTGTGGAGGTTGGCTGTTTGCAGGTCCCTGCCCCAGGCAAGGCTCACAGAGCTCTACAGAACACTGGAAGGCAGCCTGGCCTTTTCATGGGGTCAGGGCTGTGTCCGTAGCACAGCCCAGGCGCGTCCCTGGTGAAAGCCTCTTGAGCACTCCAGTGGCGGGAAGCGATGGTGGCCAGGTGGGGCGGATCCAGACCGGCAGGTTGGGCGTGTGGGGAACACCCGCTTCCCGCCTTCCCTCAGACTTTGGCCTGCTCCCTGCTCCTTCCCTGTGCTACTTCCTGCTCTGTGGAGCGTATGTTCCCTGGCCTGGCTCTGTACTCCTTTTCTCTGTCCTCACTGCCCCTGCATCCTACACCAGACAGCTGTAGAGGCGCAGAGCTGCTGGGGTGAGTACCTCCACCCTGCACCCTGTGAGCAGGTGCCCCCTGAGGGAGGGCAGGGCAGGCAGCTGGGCAGGCGGCAGTGCCAGGCTGGCCAGGTGTTTGGGCTTGGGATGCAGTTTGTTACCACTTGCCGAATGTCCCACGGGTGCCTCACTGGGTTTCATGGGAGGTTTCCTCCTCTGTTAAATACGGGGCCCATGCAGTGGGCCAGGACACAAGCTCCCCAGGGAAGCAGCAGCCACTGTCCCTGTGCCCTGGGGGCCCCAGGACCTGGCAGGCTCACACTGTGCCAGGTGACTGGGCTCATCCTCACCCTCCAGGCCCAGCAGGCACCCTGAGCATAAGGGACACTCCAGGTTCCCCATCCCTCCGCCATGAAGACCCTCGGAGCATGTGCACCCAGGGTCAGGCCTGCTGCGTGTAGCTGCGGAGGTGGCCGAGACGCCTGAACCCTGCCATGGTACTTAGGACAGTCTGCACACAGGTAACTCTGAGACCATGGGGGCAGATGGGGAACAGTGGGCAGGCCTGGCACCTGAGGATGGGTGGGACTGTTGCTTACAGTGTGGGGAGGGGGCTGGCAGGCAGCAACTGGGCTGGGGTATGGGGCGGCCAGGGCTGGTGGGGAGCCGTGGCATGGGGAGCCATGAGCTGCGGGGGTGCAACGGTGCTGTAAGAGGCTGGAGGGGACCAGGGCACTGAGGAGGAGGAGGAGGAGGAGGAGGAGAAGGGGGGAGGGAGAGGAGAAAAGGGAAGGGGGGAGGGAGAGGGGAGGAGGAGGGGGTAGGACGGGGGAGGATAGCTCGGTTCCTGTCCAGTCGTTTTTGCACTCTCAGCAGTGCTTTGTGGCTGTGGGAATGCTCGCTGCACACTTTCCTGCCTCCCAATATTTGTAAATGCTGCTGTAGATTTTTATTTTCCTAGTGTTTGTCACTAGCGCAACAAAATGCATTGTTTTGATCTGTCATCTAGTATCAGATAATTTTGCTGAATAATTAATAGTTTATAGTGGGTCAGCCTAATAGCTTAGTAGATTAAAGCGCCTGCAAGCAGGCACAGGGGCTGGAGGTTTGATCCCTGGACTTGCCGTGCCACCCCCCCAGGGCACACTGAGATGGCAGTTGAGAGTGGGCGTGGTGGCATGTGCCTGTAATCCTAGCTCTTGGGAGGCTGTAAATAGGCGGATCACTACTAGTCCGATCTAGTAGTGAGACTCTGAACACCTTCTACCACTTCTACCAAGGTAGCAAGTTGCGATTTTCAAAACATTTGTCCATTTAAAGTGTTGAATGCATTTGAATAGTTATTAATGCTATTCCTTTACTGTTCTTCTAATGTAGTCTCTGAAAGTCTTATCTTCCATTCCTTGTATTAATAATTGATGTGTATGAATTATCAGTTTATGAATCTTTTCAAATAATATTCATTTACAAGTTTTTTTCTAGAACATTAAATCTACTCTTTTTTATTTCCTTTCTTCCACTGTTGGCTGTCTGTTTTTCTTTCTTTCCTTTTGTTTCTGTTTTTTTTTTTTTTTTTAAACCATGACTTAAATCCTGAGATTCATGTGTTTGTTTCTTGAGACAGAGTCTCAATGTATATTTCAGGCTGGCCTTGGACTCACTGTGTAGTCCAGGCAGGGCTCAAATTCATGGCAATCCTCCTGCCTCAGCCTCCCAAGTGCTGGGACTTCTGGATATTAGGCATCTTTTTTTTTTTTTTTGGCTGGCTCCGAATGCCTTCAGGGCAGGTTTGGCTGGCTGGAGTTGTGGGGATCAAACTGCAGCAACCTGAGGCTGACTGCTTTGTTGAAGCAGCCTCTTAAACAACTGAGCTAAGGGGCAGGCCCCCAAAATTAGGCATCTTTCTTCTTTGCTAAAATGAACACTGAAGGCTATAAATTTTCCTCCACCCTTGGCATTAGCTTTCTCTCATGAAGATTGATAAGTTATGTTTTCATTATCATTCAATTTAAAATAGTTTATTATCCCTTTGATCATTTACTGGATATTTTAGTTACTTATGAAAATGGTTTTTGCTTTGTGAGTGTCTGGGCATTCTTTAGGTGGCTTTATCTTTGTTACTTGGCCTAGTTCTGCTCTGTGGAGGCTTGCCCTGTGGCCTGTGTCTTGCCTGCGCTGCGGAATGCTTGATGTTTTTGGAAAGAACTGTCTGCTTTGCTGTCTTCAGCATGGGCCGTGCATCTCAGGCGTTGGTGGTGTTCAGGTCTCATATGCGCCTCATGACTGCCTTGGCTCTGGGGGCCGTGGTAAGGCGCAGCCGTGGGTCTTTCTCCTGCCAGTTCTGTTTACTCCATTAAAAAACAAAAACAAAAACAAAAACAAAAACAAACAAACAAAAAAAAAACACCTCTGTAATCAGGTACACTTGCTCTTAGAATTGTTAGCTGTCTTTTTTTAGGTACTCTGGAGTGACCCCAAGGCCTCTGCACTGAGCGGCATACATCCCGAGGCCTTTTTATTTTTTATTTTGTGAAAGGGTCTCGCTGATTGTTAGGCTGCCCTGCCTGGGTTGGCACTTGGAATTCTCCCACCTCAGCCTCTGAGTGCTGGGATTGCAGGCGTGCGTCCCTGAGCCCAACCCAGAATTGTCAGCTCGCCCAACGAACTGATCCATTTATCATTTATTGATTTATTTTTTGGGGGGATCAAACTCAAGTCCTTGTGCTTGCCAGGGAAGCGCTTATTCCACTGAGCCATCTCCCCAACTGATCCGTTTATCATTATAAAATATCCCTTTCGTATGACTACTGCTTGCATTTTATCATTATTTTTTGAGGCTAGGCCAGTGCTCATTGAGTGAGGTTCGACCATCCCGTCACTTTTATTTTTACTTTGAGACAGGGTGTTGCCAAGTTGGCCAGGCTGCGCACCAGCTTGTGAGCCTCCTACCCAGCCTTCTGAGTTGCTGGGATTATCAACGTGTGCCCACTCACCAGGCTCTAACTTTTCTTTACGTCTCAAGTGTGTACTGGGTGGATATCATGTCATCATTCCTGACCTGAAACCCAGTTTGACAGTCTTTGCCTTCTTGTGGCTCGTCGACACCAGTGACACTCAGTGCAGTGTTGGTACCGTTAGGGCTTGCGCCCCCTTGTCTCCTCCCCCACCTCCCTCCCGCCCGCCCTTCACACTGGCCTCCTCTCGGGCTCCTCTTCTTCGCCTCTGTGCTCTCTTTTCTGTGGCTGCTCACACGATAGGAATCTTTTAGGGAGTGGTGGTGCCCAGGCTGCACCTGCAAGCCCCCTTGTTTATTGGGAAGTGCCAGCGCTGCAGTTAAGGCTGAGCTCCGGGGTTTTAGTCTAGCAGCAACACCTCCGGGTAGCACGTGCCCGCATTGCAGAGGGCTGCATGCTGCTGCAGCTCATGAGCCGTCGCACGTTGGCTCACTGCCACTGCGCTCGGTTCAGCTCATGATGTTGGAAGTGGGGGTGGGACTGAAGAACGCTGTTCCTGAGTCCTGGACAGTCCACAGGCCGCACTCTGCGAGGGGAGCTTCGCAGGAAGGTTAGGTCTTGGGTGATGAAAGCGGGCTGCTTCCGAGGCATCCTGGAGAAGTCGCCCGGTATGCAGGTCCGTTCACTGCAGAGGCCTGGGCTGGCGCTGGCAGTTTGGGGTCATGGGCATAGGGGTGTCTTTGTCACTTCCCCATCACAGGAATCCAGCACCCAGCATGCACAGAAACAGCAGTGAGGGAGGCCTGGGAAGAGCAGGAAGCATGGAGGCTGCTGAGCTCCGTGGGTGAACTCACGCAGAGCACAGCGCCCGTGACTGTCAGCCACCTGGGCCCCACCCCCACGCACAGGTGCCACCTGCTGCCTGGAACTTTCTCCATCCACACTGCAGCAGTGTCCATGGCCGAGGGAGGACCTGCTTACTGAAAGTCCCAGTGGGACGCAGCCTGATGAATCCCAGCACCCACAAGGATAGCAGTAGGGTGAGGAAGAGAGGCCGGAGGAGGAGGAGCAGGATAAGGTAGCTGTCATGGGTCACCACAAAAGGAAGTGGCCTCTGGGCTGTGGCATGAGAAGATTTTGGGGCCAATTGCAAGGCAGTGTCAAAGATCACTTTATCTGCCTTCTCCCTTTGTGGTAGATGAGTGAGCACTGTTTATACCCCCTCAACAGCTCGCTCAAACAGTTTATAAAGAGAACTGCAGATGCCTTGACACTGCCAGATGCTGCTAGCAGGTGGAAGAGGTGATGTCTGCGAGGTGCGCATTGGGCCCAGCAACAGGGGACATAGAGGGTCCTGGGGGAGATGTGTTTGTGGGCCGATCGTGGCAGGGCCCCATCTGCAGGCTGAGCGCTGAGGGGCTTTAAGGACATGCACCCTGTGAGAGGGGCATCTCTTGCAAGAATGGCAGAGACCTCGGGGACCTGACACCAGGTGCACTGCCCAAGGGCGAGGTCAGGGTTTTGCTGGACCAGTGGCCAAGGGTGAGGTCCACTTTCCTCACAGGGCCCTGAGTCCTGCTGGGATGCTCAGGTTTCCAGGCCCTGCTGCTCCTTAGCCGAGCGAGCACCCTTTCCCCAGGATGCTGTCGCCACAGCTCTGCACAGCCAAGCAGCCTGAGCCCATGCCTCCCCCATCAACTTCCTGAACTCACCCGCCCTGACCTGACCACAGACTGTCATTGACCTCAGGGCAGTGGGAGGAGCTGTGCCCTGCACAGGCGGCTGCAGGAGCAAGAGCAGGGGAGAGGGTGGAGGCTGGCGCTGCTGGCAGGGCTTCTGAGGAAGGACAGTTAGGGAGGAGGCGGGGGCTGGGAGTGGCCCCGGAGTAGCTGCCCTAGAGTGTGCGTGCATGCACACGTGCCTGCGTGTGTGCATGCGTACACACGTGCCTGCGTGTGTGCACATATGTCCATGTGTGGGAAAGGAGAAAGGGTCCTGCATGCCTGCCTTCAGGTTTCTGAAATGAGTAAGCCCCATTTCTGGAAGACTCAGCCCTACCTGACTCACCTCTGTGCCTAGCCTGCTTCTCGTCCTGACCCTCACTCCTACCCCTGCTCTGACCTCAGGGGCTGCTGTGAGCTGCATCTCCCTGCCCCGCTCCCCGTTGTATCCAAGTTCCTGCTGGGCCCCCTCCCCCTATGTCTGTGTGGCCTTCTGCCACCCTGTCTTGGCAGCCTAGTCCTTCCTGTGGCGTCCTCTGGACTCCCTAGAACCTTGAGCCTGGCCTGGACTCTGCTGGGCCCTGGGTCCCACTGCCCAGTGTGGAGTTGGCACTGGTGCAGAGACTGGCATGCTGCGAGCTGGCGGAGGTCCCTGAGCCTTGCTTCTGAGGAACGCTCTGTCCCAGGTCCCTCCTGCATGACAGTCCAGGCTCCATCTCCTAGGCACTAGGTAGCTGTGGCTCTGCGGGTTCCTCCTGGAGTTGGAGCAGGCAGAAGCAGCCAGAATGGCAGCTCCAGCCTCGGCTTGGGCTGGCCAGACCTGCCTCTCCCCTGTATATGTGCGTG